GTTTTAACAACATGAAGAAACCCCGCGACCCCAAACTGGCCCAGTGCCGGAGAAAGCAAAGTGTAACCCAGACGCAGAAGGAACAAGCGACCCAAAAATGTCAATCGAAATAACAAGGCCTTCAAGTTGAGAGTCAGCAGCAGCAGTCCAACTCCAAACCCGAGCCCCAAGTGATACATAGGTACTCGCTGCACTATTCTCGACATGCATAAAAGACAAAAATCATGGCTATGCATCTTTCCATATTCTAGCGGAAGATTCACTCTCGTTTTGCACATTTCGAGAGTAGTGCAGAGAGGCCCATAGTACACACAATACTCCGCCACATACCTGAACGGAGGCTGAAACACAATGGCACTTTTGGGCACTGAACAAGACCAGCATCTGCGTAACCTGGCGTGCCCTTGTGTCCGGACTCCGAAGCATCGGCCAAGACCAGCCAGGCTGCGTGGAATATGAACGAGTCCGAAGCGCCACCCAAAAACAGCCCGGCTGGGTGGAAAACGACGAGTCAGAGACGTATCACCCAACAAGAACAGGCTGCCAGTGGGGAACATGACAGTGTCACTCCTTTGCTAGCCAAATGCTCGGCCAGGCGAGTTGTGATCTGCAACAACAGTCTCAGAAGGCAACGGCAAACGTCCAAGACATCAGATTCTCACCTCTACATAACCGCGGGTTTGCGTGTGATCCCGACATCGCCTAGCACAAGGCTTAGCTTGTTTGTGTAGAAAAAGGCGTTCCTTGGTGATCAAAAATTTCGAAATGATTTTGTAGAAGTCCATCATTGTAACTCTGGCACCTCCACCGAGCAGAGATTAAGCCGTAGCAACCTTCTCCGACGACAACAGATCTGCGTGTGAGTCACCCTCTCAGTCTCTCACCACCAACTCCAAGGCTGCCCTAAACTGTCAGAGACCTCATACAGCAGCGTATTCCACACATCACCCAACAACAGCTTGATTCACACATCACGACGATCACACAATACCAGCTCTGCTGAGTAAAACACGACACGACGTTACATTACTTGAAGCGGAGCAGTCCTTCGGCACATCCGTTAAAATTGGAACGATACAGAGAAGATTAGCATGGCCCCTGCGCAAGGATGACACGCATAAATCGAGAAATGGTCCAAATTTTTTAAAAAAAAAAAAAAAAAAAAAAAACTTGAAGCGGAGCAGCTCCACAGTCTCCACCTGCCAGAGGGAGGTTGAGCCGTCCCAACCTTCTCAGAGGACAAGTCTGAGACAGCAGGTGCACCTCCACGCCAATAGTCTAAGAAAGGAGCCATTCTCAAGCCTTAGGTGGTTATGGTATTGGGGAGAGCTCTTATCACCCTCAATCTGATCCCCCCGACCAAAGGATTTTGTCCAACACACACCCGGGCCATCCTCCCTCCCCTGCGAAAAGAAAATAAAAGGAGCTTTTCAGGAATTACTAATCATGACAATTACACATACTACACAGAAACTGATTGCCGGCTGTGACCAGCACTTACAACAGCAGGAAATAAACTTGAACCTACTGACGCACACATGCCACACCCATACACACACACACACAACACACACACTCACACATGCCACACCCATACACACACACACACACACACACACACACACACACCACACACACACCTGTCTCTTATACACATCTAGATGTGTATAAGAGACAGGCGCTAGATTGAACTCCTTTTCTGCATCTCTGCCTAAAACACGCCCAGATTCAGGATCTTAATCCAATCCCCCCTGCTACTGGGACCATGCTCCAGGTGATACACCCCTGAGCTAGTGTAGTATTTTACTCATTCTGAATCTCTGCCTAAAACACGCCCAGATTCAGGATAATAATCCAATCCCCGAGTTCGAGCTGCACTGGAGGCGAATGAGTAAAGTACTACAGTGCCGAGTTACCGATCGGTACATTCTTCCCCCGAATACAACGTACAGTCAATAGCTGTATTTGACGCATCTTTCAGTCTAGATACAGCTATAATGACCGTACGTTGTATTCGGGGGAAGAAGGTAGGGGCGGTCAGTTTGATGATCACATCTCGCGGTCAGTTTGATGATCACATCTCAAGGTCGTCACCCACAATGAAAAAGCGAAATAAAACTAAACAAATAGTAAAAATAAAACAAAAATCAGAAGGGACCAACGGGCCGGGCTCATTTGGTGCACACCCCCCCTTCATCAGCCGTCGAGATTCCGACAAGAGTTCGAATGCAGATGTGAACTAAGAGACTGATTGAAGAAGAATTAGTCATATTGGACCGATGATCGTCGACCTTTCAGATATTTCATCTTGATGGCTGCCAAGTGATTGCTACACTTTTCGTTTCTTTTATTTATTTATTTATTTTATTTTTTATTTTGGGGGGGGGAAACCAATTAGAATTACCTGTTACCAGTCAAGTGTGAAGATGCATTGAATACTCAACACGGTGGCCCTTTCCCCCAAAAAAAAAAAGAAGAAAAAAAAAGAAACGCAAAGTGTAGCAATCAATTGTCAGCCATCAAGATGAAAGATCTGAAAGGTAGACGATCATCGCTCCGATATGACAATTTCGCCGGCTGTCCCGTCTTCCCCCCCGAATAGAACCTACGGTCATTATCGCTGTACCTAGACTGCAAGTTGCCCCAAATTCGGCCATACTGACTGTTCGTTCCATTCATTAACCTCCGCCGACGTTCACTGCTAGGATACTAGACGTTATTCTGACCACCGCTGAGAAGAATCATTAAAAATCCCAAAACAAATTCTCAAAAAAATCCCCAAAAAAACTCCGAAAACAAATCCCAAACAAAATCCCAAAAACATGATCCCAAAATCATTTTAAAACAAATCCCCAAAAATTTCCCTAAAACAATCCCTGCAAACATCTCGGAAATAGTCCCGAAAAATATCCCCAGAAAAATCCCGAAAACACACATACGTAATCTGAAGCACATTTAGAAAAAAAAATCCTCTCTCTCTCTCTCTCTCTCTCTCTCTCTCTCTCTCTCTCTCTCTCTCTCTCTCTATCTATCTATCTATCTATCTATCTATCTATCTATCTATCTCTCTCTGTTTCTCTTTCTCTCTTCTCCCTCCCCCTCCCTCTCTCTCTTCCCCCCCATCCCCATCTCTCTCTCTCTCTCTCTCTCTCTGTGTGTGTGTGTGTGTGTGTCAATCGCTCGCGCGCGGGTTTGTCTTTTTCAATGACGTAACCGATCCTAAGCCTGAGAACGGTCTTTACAATCCCCACGAACACAAGCCGCGCATTGCATTTGATTGAAAACAAAATGAAAAAAAAAAAAAATGGTACAGAAGAAGAAAAGCACTCGTCACTAAAACCTCTACTGACGCAGGAGGTGACATGGCCTTCACCACACATTTCTTTCCATCGGCAACTCCATTTTCCTTTTTTTTTTTTTTTTTTTTTTGCTCGAGGGGCCAAAGAGCCCTGAAGAATGTTACCTCACTGATCTGATTACATCAGGATTGGAAGTTATTACCTCGTCATCAACAACAATTGCTTATTTCGTGTTGCATTGCGACCCCATTTCGGCCTTTCGAAATTCGAAGTTCGATTCGGGGAGCAGTGTGTATGTTCTTTTTTTTTTTTTTTTTTTTTTTTTTTTTTTTTTTTACAAGAACATCCCCCTGCAGTGCTAGAGGTGCTGATAAGAGCAGACACCCCTAGCACCCGAGGAGGGACTGAGCAGTGTGTATGTAACGTTTCGTGCGATGAGAGAGAGTCCCCATGCATGTATATGCCTGCCTGCCTCGTCACGAGTCGTCGTTGGAATATCACCAACCACGACTGTCTCTCATACGACTGCGCCACTGCCTCCGTCGTCTCCGCGTTGCCATCCATAACTGCCGTTCGATTGACCGAAAAGGCAGCACTCCTTTCCAACTGCCTCCTAAGACGGCGTCACTCCCCTTTTTCACCGCCTCCGTAATCCGTCAACAATCAACGAAAAGGTTGAAGATCCGGAGTCGATACAAGGATGAACGTATACTCTTATTTTGATAACTCGAATTACTTTCCTTCTAATCGATGAAGTAATCGGTGGATCGATGGATGGATCCGTCGATCCATCATGTCTTTTAATTGACTGATCGATGGATCGATCGGTCAATTAATAGTAGTCTGAGATAGGAGACGCCTATCTATTCAAGACTCGATGGATGGACCGATCGATCGGTCAATCATATATCGATTAGTAACCGATTAATCAACCAATTGATTAATCAACCATTTCAATCGATTAATCAACCATTTCAATCGATTAATCAACCATTTCAATCGATTAATCAATGAATTAATCGATGAATTAATCAATGAATTAATCGATGAATTAATCGACAAGTTCATGGATTACTGGAGGAATCTAAAGTACAGCCGGAGTCGATGCAGCTATGAGCGAAGTGTCTTTATACATCGATTAATCGATCCATGGAGTGGACGTTTGACATGATTGATTGATTGGTTGATGATTAGTCGCCGACTGATCGATAGACGGATTTGATCTAGGAAAAGTCCACAGCTCGTGGCCACCAAGAATGATATAGGTAGACAGTTTTTTTTTCTTCTTGTTCGTAATTGATTGATTGTTAGTCGATGATTAATCGATGGAAGGATCTGATTCAGCAAAAACATGGCAGCTCGTGTCCACCGAGAATGATATCGACTGATTTCAATCCGGGTAATGGCCCCGGCGAATCCGACACAATTATCTTGTATTTATAGCAATGATTGATGTATTTTTGGCCGCTGGACCTTGATTTCCAGCACGTGCTGCTCCCCTACCTACCTATAGACCGCAGTCACTACGGGACGGGGTACTAGCAGAAAACGCTCTTACCATCTCCGTTGGTAGAACACCGTAGCTGGCTTTTGTATAAAAAAAAAAAAAAAAAAAAAGCGCTTGTCCACCGTAGCTGGGTTCCGTAGGAAAAAAAAAAAAAAAACGTTTAGCGCTTCTTTATATCGCCTGTTGAAGCGAATCAATGAGATTGGCTACTAGTAAGGAGAGAGTTGAGAGAGCGAGAGAGCGAGAGAGGTTGTTCACTTCGAGCTTGCTGACGTTAACCGGATGGCTTGACTTTGCTCCCGAGCACTCTGTCGAAGAGGTAGGCTCCTTCTCCATCGCCGACTCTTCGGAGCTGAGAGAGATATTCCGAGTGCTTTTTGATCAGCTGCGCCTGGGGATGCAAGTACCTGCCGCACACGTAGTGCTGCAGCTCGCTGTCTTCCGCTGCATCGGCCGCCTTAGATACGTCCAGGTACATGTTGTACTGCTGTTTTTCCATCGCCAGCGTCAACGCCATAGCCTGCAGAGCGTCTCCGCCCTCCGAGTCCGGATCTCTCGGTAGCTCCCTGTCTTCGACTGCATCCGACGCCTTGGACACGTCCAGGTGCATCTTGCATCTGCCACCGTCAATCTCCGAGATCTGCGGTTCCGAGACCCCCGAGAACTCCACCCTCCCTCCTCTTCCTCCAACGTAGCGCGACAGATCCATTGCATCTTGCCTTTCCTCCTCGCTCCGCTCCAGATAAAACTTGCCCATCCCTGGAAGAGCCACGTCATCTCTCCGAAAGTAAGCCGACATGGCATGAAAGGTGTACGACATGTCATGAGCCAATTTCACAGCGTCGGCAAGCTGCCGCTCTACGTTCTCGTCTAGAGCACAGCGCGCCGCCGCCCGTCTTTGCAACGGAGTCTTCTTGCCCATCACACGAACCTGGTCCGTATTCTCGTCTAGATCACAGCGCGCGGCCGCCCTTCTATGCAACGCAGTCTTCTTGCCCATCACACGAACCTGGTCCGTATTGTGCCTATACGTCATGGGATCGAAGTTCAACCTCTTCTTTCCCTCCTCCTTCAACAGCAGGATCCCCGTTGCCGGTGACGTCATCGCCATAGCTTTCGTCAACGCCGCCATGCTCTCTCTCTCTCTCTCTCTCTCTCTCTCTCTCTCTCTTCTTCTTCTTTTCGTATTCGCTCCTTATGGCTCTCACAATGATCAATACTTCAAGATAGTGGATACAGTGAGGCACGACCTCGTGGTCCTACTTAATGCGTATTTTTGTCGTACTAGGGTCCCTCCACGTGTCAGGTCCTCGAGCGATTTCTGCCGAAGCAAATTACGTCCCACCTAGCCCACCGTCGTCGCGAATCGTTCACATTCCCAGCTTCAAACCGCCTTCGTCGTCTGGAGCAAGGACTTATAGAATCAAAATCAACCCACAAAAGTTTAGTGTAGTCGCTATAATCTTTCCCGTCCGATGACCTCTTTCTTTTTCTGGGCTTGCTGATCTTTTCTCTATCGTGCCAAATTTAGGGGATGTCGGGAAGGACACCTCTCTCTCTTCCACCTCTTTCTTTTTCTTCTTTTTTACCTAAGCTAAGATTCTTCTCTCAATTCCACCTTACACTACTACCTACTAGGCTACTACTACTGCTAATCAAAGTATTAAGGGGAACGGTAACCCCGTTCGCGCGTCGGCTGACCCCTTCTACCTCTCCATTCTACTCTTTTTGTTTCCGTTCTGGTCTTTGTTGCTCGTGAGACACACGCCCACGTGGCGACCGTACGGCCAAGATCGGGACTGTGTGCTGCCGCAGAACGCGCAATTCGAAGTCTCATCCAGGTGGACAAGAGATAGCCCATGCAGTAAAATATGTCGGGGCCTCCGTCACCGCTCACCAAACGTAAAAGTCCGTAATGAACGAGGCCCATAAAGTACCACTGCAGCAGATGTACACTACAACGGCAAGCCTAGACACTAGAACTTCGGCGGAGAGAGTGTAGAACAAGCCTTGCCCGTCCGAGTCAATCGTCAACTCGCTTCGGTCACATCATCCCCTAGGGAAAAAAAGGGGGGGTGGAAATAGTCACATCCTCACCTGGACACGTTGGTTACTGGTCTCTCTGCCCCTCGCCTCCAGCCCCCTGCTTCCCCTCCCTGACCTTGCCCTACCCCCTGGAAAGAAAAGGGGAGGTCAATGATTTCTTTCTTTTTACCACTAAGCTATTTGAGCCTATGTACTTCTCTCAAGTTCACCTTTCACTCCCTCCCCGGCCCAATCCAGATAAAATAGTGATATACGGAGCCGCAGGCCCACACACGGCATGAAAATCAAGGGTGGGTGGGGCCACTTCACCAACAAGGCGATGGAGAAATGACTCTCGAGGAGGACGGACTGGTCAACTCTGTGTGTGTGGCTGACTTACAGGTTCCCGTACCCAATGACGGTTGAGGGAGCAGCGAGAGAAAGTCTGGAGCCTGCGTCAACCAGTCTATAGACTCTATACCGATGATTTATACCTACAAACGCTCCAGAAGCATGCCAGCAGGACCAGTGAGGTTCAACTTCATCACGAGTAAGCTTCGCAGTCCCGAGTACAACTCACCCTCCAGGGTAGATCCTTAGAGAGCAGTTGTAAACCACCGATCTTCCCATGAGACTTTGGTCTACGGTGTCTGAGTCATAAGTTCTCAACACCCACGTACGCGAGTGGTTGAAATGAAACGGAGACCGGTCGAATGGCACATCAAGTCCATAAAACTGAGTCCCATGGGTGTATGATGTCCCAATCAAATACCTCCGATGCACAAGAGAAGTAGACTACAACCAACCAAACAAGGACCCGACCACAATAGCTCCTCTAAGCGAGTGGTCGGACAGAGATAACGTAGGGCGGAGTGTCATGACATGCTGTGACTTGGATGTACTGCCCTTTATAAACAAAAAATAGTTAGTTGAAGTTGAAGGGCGGTGAAAGACATAGGATGCGGAGTGGATGCCAGTAGTATCGTCGTCGTGCATCGACGCAGTCATAAGATGTTTTAGTAACAGTTTCAAATTTTTCGGTAGAGAAGGAAGCGATGACCCAAGTCAAAACAGTCTGGTGAAGAAATTTCAGAACGCCAACAGAGAATATGCGCTTCAACGAGGGATTGAGGAAAAGTCCGCATAACAATTATGATGGGAAAACTAGAGTATAATACTAAACTACAGGAGAAACAAGATTGAGAGGGGGTTTGGGAATTAGAGACTTTGACGGGGGTATGGGCAATTTGAGTACAAGACTAAACTATAAGATGAACAAGATAAAGACTTTGAAGAGGAATAAAATGGAGACTTAAGATCAGGATGCAGTGACATTCCACTATTTATGGGAAAGTCGGCAGCGCTACAGTGAGGCTTTGATTTAACAATACAAGGAAATACGTATAGGTGCCGCTTGAAGGGTCGTAAGACCAGGTTCTACTGAGATGCATCAACAGAGAGAGCGAGATTGCTAATTACATTAGGAGATCCTAAACTATAAATCCCCCGCGGCGACCGCTCGACGCGGCCGAGGTTGCGGCTGCAGCCTCAACAGTGACCCGCAACCATTAAAAAAAAAAAAATATCTGGAAAATAAATTATGCAGAAAAATAAACTGAACAAATTTTGCCTTACGGTCATATCCAAAAACTTTACGAAATTTTAGGGAGAAAAAACAATAAGTTTCATAGTTTTTCTTACCAAAAACTATATATATATATATAGTTTTTGTGTGAGGAAAATTAATCTTTACATTTTTTTAAATTCAACGATGAAGTAAAACAAAATCAAAATATTGTGCAATGTATATCTCGAGAAGATCTACAACATCATTTTTTATTTTTTTTTTAGAATTTTTTGAACGCTAAAAACATTCCTTAAAGGCGCGGTCGCACCCAACCATTGCCAAAGGGGCGGGGACCGTGATCCAGATCGCATGCCGAGTTTAACTCCACGACCACGGCCGCGTGTGATACATAGATCCTAAAAAGGGTGGAAATATATCTTTTAAAAAATATTGAATGAACTAATAGTGGTGTACAAGAAATTGGGTTACGATACAGGTTCGACGTGAAGTGAACGCATTAGCTGGCAGAGGCTTTTAAAACTATAGAGAGAAGTGGTTCGAAAAGAGAAGGTTATATGAAGGTGAGAGTGGGCATAACTTTACGATGGGCGGGGTACGAAATGAAATATAAGAAGAATTGAGTTCGAGAAAAATAATGCTCCAAGAAATGTGATATAGTTATGATATGAGGCGCGAATTGAAGTGGAGGAATTTGCAGTCAGGTGCGAAAAAGGATGGCCCACAGAGAAGTTGAAACCGAGGAGGGCAGGGTTCGGGAAGGAGGGGTGCCCCCTAGACCTAGCAACACATGAGTATTGTTATGGGGAATCTCAAACCTCTAAAGGATGTTGAGATTTGCTACTTGAGGGAGCCTGATGGTTTTATAAAATAAACGGTCATTTCGTCAAAACAGACATATTTTGTTTTTTAAATGAAATTGAAATTGATTTTTTGGGCTGAAATCCGGTCCAAATTTTTGGCTCCGCGGGGTCCAGCGTTCCTGGAACGTCGGACCCCCAAGATGTATCTGAACTCAAGCATAGACGAGATACATCTAGGGGGTCCAACGTTCGGAAAATGGCGGATCCCCAGGAGCCAAAAATTTGGACTGGTTGGCCCAAAAACTCAATTTCAATTTAGTTCAAAAAATAAAATATGTCCGTTTCGAAATGGTTGTTAATAAGAAAGGTTAAGAAGGTAAAAAGGAAGACTCAAAAGTGCTCTTGAGATAACAAAGTGGAGGATTGACACAAGGGAAAGCATCCATCTCTCTGGTGAATGTCATAAGGGGCTCCTGTCAAAAAACAATGTATAAACTTGGTAAGTGGTTTGTAACCAAGTGACAAAGAAAAAACTTACATGATAAAAATTGGAGATGAAAAGATCAATAGAGGTAGAATAAATATCACGAAAGATATCCTTAATGTGATCGTCAGTCTCCAATCTGAGTTATCTTAGCCTTTGGAGATTGCATTTGTGTCCTAATTGAGATTTCGAGCAATTCAGATAGGTTTGAGGATGGTATCACAAGACACGAGAATGAAGACAATGTGATGAAACCCAAAGTTTAAGAGAAAGTCTGATAAGCGCATTTCAGCTATAAGGTTAGAAGTGGTCTGACTGTCAAAATGGAACATTACAGAAGTAGAAGGAAAAATAACAATGTAGTTGACATATAGGAAAAGAAAAGTTCGAAGGACGACAAACATTTTTTTGTGAGTTTATGAAGAGGAGAAAATGGAAGGGGGAAGGTATTTATTAAAAATAACAAAGGATGAGTGAATGACAGAAATGACAACAACAAAATGATAAGCTTATGCATTTATTGCGATCAGGAGTTAAGGAATTTTTGCGGTTCATAACTTATCAGGAAAGATAGGACGATGGTGGACCGCCATAGAAGGTCCTAAACCAAGTTATCGGAAATGGCTATTAGGGAATCACAATTAGGAGGGAAAATAAATTTGTAAAAAGATGAGCAGAATAGGGGAGCATTAAAACATATTTTACAAAGAGAGGTACGTTTACCGATAAACATGGTGAAAATTTTGTTTTAGGAAGGGGAAACAACAAATAAAGAAAGGAAATGAATCTTTAAAGTCTTATCATGTGGGACCTTGATGTGCTTGTCATAAGAGTCCATGATGAAATAACTGCTTATTTAGGTTAAAAATAAAAGTATAGTTTTTAAGCGCACAACATAGTTGAATGTTGCTAAATGAAAGACAAAAAAAAAAAATTTGCAAGCATTGAGTCATCAATGTAGGACGAGCAAAAAAACTTTTGAAGTCTTAACTAAGGCATAGCTTCTTGTATGATTGTAGTAAAGATCCAACATGCATTGGAAAACAAAAAACAAAATGTTATAAAGTGATAGGTGAAGTCATTTCATCCGAAGGCTATAAAGATGTGGTGGACAAGATGGATAGGGTTGTGATAGTAGTTTTTGATATCGAAGAAAGAGAGAAAATCTTAAGAGGCTGAACAAAGTAGGGAAGCTATCAATCATTGAGTGATTCATAATAAAACTCGAAAAAACATAAAAATTAACGAATCAAACATCTAAATGGAAACAAACGGGATTGACTTTTTGGTAGTTTGGGTAAGAGAAAATAGTTGCTAAATTGGATGATCGTCTTGCTTACCGACACTACTCGTCTAAAGTTTAATTGTGTTACTGATATTTTGCCTTAAGAAAGGTTGATTTTGCTTTAATCCTTCATCTGATACATTGTTGCAAAGAGATT